ATACACAGCTTTTGCCATTCCTCTCTAGAAAGCAACTCACTTTGAAAACATTCGGACTGGGGTCTGTCACTTTATGAGGCAGGTAGATCTGTGTTATTCACTGGTGTTTCTTAGCATGTCATGTTTTAATAGATTTTTGGATATTGAGTGATTGAATGAATAAATGGGTCATGGTTCCAAATTCTGGTCCATCGTCACGTAACCTCAAGTCAAAGACACAGACATATGAGAAATACAGGATGGACGAAAAAAAGAACATCATTAAGGGAGTGGAGTACCAGAGTTTTGCTCTTCTGCTTATCTTCATACAAAATTTATAGGAAATGCTTTCTATCTGATGGAAAGTGTGTTAGACCCTTGCACACAAACATGAAGACACAGCCCTGGCTTCAGTGCATACTTTTCCCTGATCAAATCTTATCATCTGTCTCCCCACTAGACTGGGAGGTCTGTCAAAACATTGTCTACCACACAGTAAACAATAAATAGTTGGTAAATCATCTAAGGAAGACCGTAGCCTCATGGAGGGGGAGAAGACATAATCAACTATATAAAGTCAGGATCCTTAGTTGTGAGCAAGAAAAGCTGACTCTCGCTGATGCAGTAGAAGAGGTGTGTTGAAGATACTGGGTAGGTATCAGAATTGTTGGACGGTGTAGGTATGACTAAAGCGGTCCAAGAGTAAAGAAAACAAAACGTAGTGTCCTGAGGACTACTTTACAGTAGCTCCCTACCATTGTCACTTCTGCATGAGCTACTCATTCTTGCAACCACAGAGAAGCTGCTGGTGCTCCTGTGCTGCCAACAAAGCCAGCCACCTCTGCTGCTATTCATTTCAGCAAAGCTGGAGGTGCCATGCAGAGCCTGCTGCCTTTGGTTGCTCATACTTGAATTTAAGTTTCACATGAATGAGCCTGATTGGCAGAGCCTTGATCACATTTTTGAGCCCAGTTGCAAGGGAGGTTGCAACATCAGTTGAGCTCTAAATAAAGCTCAGAGGATTTGAGCTCTAAATAAAGGAGAACTATTCAAAAGATGATAGGTATCCATAAATATGACAGATGTCCACTGTCCTATACAATGTGTGATAGGAGCTAAACTAGAGTTACACATTCAGATATAGACTTTTGTTCCCATAGTGTTACTGAACAAAGTGGTGTGCGGCTGCCTGCCTCCAGACACAGGCATAAAACAAAGGTTGGTGGGGGATGAAAACGTCTTTTATTAAAATGTTGCACAGTTTGGGGGAGCAGAAGTCTCCCTGACTCCAGGTTCCTCTCTTCTGCAAAACAGAGAAAAAAACCCCTTTGTTCCCCCAAAGACTGAAACCTCAAACCAAGCCCTGAAAGCTTGCTCCATTCTTACCCGCCCCACAGAGCACAGGGCTGCTATGTGCTGACTCTCCAGCCTCAGGCTCACTCCCTGGAGTCGGGTGTGTGAGTCAGGTGTGTGGGGCTGGTGCTGCCATTACCACACCACAGCTGCTTCTCACCCTGGAGGCCTGGGCCACAGCCAACTATTGCAGCTGGTCATACGTGGGTTCCATCTGTGGGTCGCGGCACCTGTGGCTGCTCCAGCCCCCAGAGCCAGAGAGTGCTCTGGCCTGCGTATCTGTGCACTGATGTCAGGGAAAGAAAAGGGCCTGGTCCAGGACCATCCATGTAGCATGGATGACACCAGTGTCCCTCAGCCATGGCCTGGGAATGCATTCTTGGGACATGGCCCAGCTAGCTTCCAACAGGGTGACTGAGAGGAAGAAGCTGCATGCTTTTCCCAACCCTCCATTTGAATTTCCCAGCCCCAATTCTGTGTGCTCTGAAATCCATTCTTTTTTTTTTCCAAGTTATACTGGCTGGTCAGCACCTCCCCCTCCTGCCATGATCAAGAAGGGAGTAGGAGGGCTTTCCCTCCATCAGTCACCCTCTCCAACCTGTGCAGTCTCCACTGCTCCTTTCCCCACCTTTGCTGGATCTCAGTCCCAGGGTAGGGAAATCTGTCCCCAGTCACCAGGCTCAGCTTCATCCCCACCACCTCCAGTGTTTCCTGCAACCCTTCCCTCATTCCGGGGCCTGCCCAGGGCATCTACTTGCATCGGTAGAACTTATACCCTTGTAGGAGAGACAAACAAGAAACATAGAAGTAAGCAAAATGATGTATGCATTGATTTCTGCTATTCTATATATGATAGGTCACTAGCTGCTACAAACACAAATAAAGCTGTGAAGGAGAGCATTCGAGACAAGCTCTTCTGGCCCTGGCTGGGTACCTCAGTCAGTTGGAGAGTGGTCCGGATACACCAAGGATGCTGATTCAGTCCTCCATCAGGGCACATACAAGAATCAACCAATTAATGAATAAATAAGTAGAATTATAAATTCATGTTCCTCTCTCTTTCAAATCAATAAATTTAAAAAAATTAAGCTTTTCTGAGATGAGCAAAGACCTAAATGTTGCAAGGGAGCTGCCAGCACAAAGGCTCTGAGATGGACACTGATTGGCAGCCCAGGACTATGTCATGTAGGCCTTCGCAGGTTATGAAGACACAGGCCCTGGCTTTGGACTCGGGAAGGTGGCAGGGCAGTGGCATGATCTGGAATCTGTACACGAATCCCACTGGCTTCTGTGTGAAGAACAGATTAGAGGGAAAGAGGGTGGATGCAGGGAGACCAAACTGATAAAGTAAGAGCAGAGGGATTAGAGCACTAAAGTCTGCCCAGATGAAGAGTGACATAAGAAGGAATCATGAGAGATGAGGGTAAACTGCCCGGGAGAAGAGGTCAGAAGGCGTCTTTAGGCAAAGGGAAAAGCAGGAGCAAAGACACAGGGCATAGAAGGCCCTGGCGTATTTGCAGAACTTTGAGTAGACTGATGAGGTTACAGAGAGGGATTCAGACATAAGATTGGAAGAGTAGGGGAGACATAGACTGTCAAGGGCTTCCGGGCTGTTATATTAACATTTCATGTCACTAAAGTAAAACAGTGGTGCAGTGATGGGGACAGAGTCTGAGACAAAACTGGGTCTAGATTTTCCCTCATAGAATTCAGATCTCTCATGGGAGTTTCTAAGAGGGCAGAAAGAACACAGTTTCTTGCCCTTTTCACCACTCCTCAGACCAGAAAAAAACACAGCCAACCCACACTTCTGTGCTATTATTATCAAAGCGGCACACCCACTTATATCTGAGGTACAGAAATCAGACCACAGTGAACATCTGAGTGCTTCTCCATCAAGGTCAATCCCAGGAGAAATTGTCAAGTAGACATCTTGTATTTCATACTTTCTCATTTCACTTCTGCAATCATCTCATATTCTACCCCAGACAGATGTACACTGAGCCTTAAAGAAAGTGTTAGATGTGGATTGGTGAAGAGAATGGAAAAGGAGGAGGGCATTTCAGAAAGAGAGAACAATGTATGCAAATGCCAGCAACGAGAAAGCACCGTTGCCCATGGGCAGCCAAACCAAGGCTGGAAAGACCGGTTTAGCCTGGATCGTGAAATGCTTGGACACCAGGATAAGTACTCAGTCATCAAAACAATTTACCCCGACATCAGGTTCCCCAATTAAGTGGTGTAACCAAAAGGTAAATGTGCAGTGCTTGCTTTTTGCCCATTTTGGATGCCAGGTTTGGCTGAATCAACAGGTGGAAGCCTATACATTTAGGAGAGATTAACCATGCTAATCTCTATGAGAGGTTCTCCATATTGATAGATTTACCTGAGATCAGAAAGTACTATCTCCCATAACATATTTTTGGGAGTTAAATGTGATGTGGCCTTTATTTCATAAGATTTGGATCAAATGCCAAAGATCTGCAACATTTAGAGCTTTGCCATTTAGAGCTTTGCAGGTGGGGAATTTGCCATGTTTTGTTTTATCTTTAGAAGGGAAGGGAAGGAGAGAAATATCAATGTATGGTTGCTTCTGGTGCATACCCTGTTGGGAAATGGCCCCTGCTGGGAACTGGTCTACAACCCAGGCATATGCCCTGATGGGGAATTGAACCGCGACCTTTTGGTTTGCAGGCCCCTGCTCAATTCACTGAGCTACACCAGCCAGGGACCCCACCCTGTTTTTAAGTGCCCTGGATTCTTCGGTCTTTCATCCTTGCTGAGGGTTGCCCCCCAAACCAGGACTGAAACCAGTCTTTCTCCTGCATCAGCCACAGGTTGCTACAGGTCGCTTCTCAGTTTTCAGGAAAAAGATATGCACTTTAGAAGCACTGCAAGTCAAGACAAATTAGTGGAACTGGTTCCAAGGGCTTAAGTGGGCTTTATCCAAAAACTATTCAAAACACGTTTTTCCATCTGAACTGGGACAGCAGACACCAAGGAGAGAAGGGACTAGGTGGGATTTGTGCAACCTCAGCCTTGGTGGCTGGCTATACTTGCCTATGAAATGTTACCAACTCTTCTGTTCCCGTCTATCCCTCCCCACTCCACTAATCTTTTTTTTGCACAGAATGTATCTTTACCCAGAGATGCAGGGAACCTGTGGAAGAGGATGAGGTACAATTAGTGATATAGGATCATGGCTTTTTTACATATGAACTTAAGCAATGAAATTTGTCTGTCATCGCCACCCCCTCCCCACCCAACTTAGGCCGCGTCAAGAAAGGAAAGCGCCAACATCCCAGGACCTCTCAGAAGGAATCCCACCCCCACCCCACCACGAGTTTCTCTCGTTCCCTGCTCTGCTGCCCTCGCCTGCAAACTTTCCCTGTCATCTGCACGCTCCCCAGTGCCCCCACCCGAAAGCTACGCATCACAGACATCCTTCCGGGCCCAGCGAAGGCTGGTGTGCTCAGCATCCGGAGAGGCAGCGGTGCTCGCTTTTATCGGAGAGAACAAAACTTGCCATTTCCGACAAGAAAGGAAACTTGCTCGAGCGTTCCCTGCTCTCACGCGCACCTCGGAGGGGGAGGCGGGGAGCTGAATCTGGGCGCCAACCCTTGCAAACCCCGCCCCCCGCATACCGGCCCCGCCCCCGCGTTTCCCCGCCGGGCACCGTCCCACCGCTCGGGCTGGGTTCGCTGCGCTAGCTCCAGGCCCTGCCGCGGCACCCTAGCGAGCCACTGCGGGGCAGGTGGCGGGAGGGCGGGCGTGCGCGCGGAAGCGGACGCGGAACAGACTCGGGTGTGTAGAGGCACCGCTCTAGCTCGCGCCACTGCCACCGTGGTTGAGGACCCACGAGGCCACTGCGTCCTGCCTTGAGAACAATGGGACTCGGCACGCGAGGTAGCTGGGCCCTGTTGTTCGTGGGGGCGCTGCTGGTGCTGGCGCTGCTGAAGGTCGCCGTAGAAGGCGGAGATTCGGCGGGTAAGTGGCTGCGGGGGGCGCCACTGCCCAGCGGGAGTTTCCAAGTTGGGAGGTGGTTGTAAGGAAAAGTTCTGCGTGTCTTACGCCGAACGCAGGGGTCCAAGCTGGAGGCGACTGGACAGGACTAGGGGAAACTAAGCCTCCGGCCGGCCTGCTCCTTGCCCCGGAGCCGCCTGCTGAGCAGACTGTCTCTGGTCCATCCCTTTGGTTTTTCTGCGAACCGAGGTTGCAAACCTGGAGGAGTGCGTATAACCTGTTGAGTTGCCCGGAGGACGGACCTTCAGCGAAGGGCTCAAGTTAGTTGTACCAGCCTTCCCCTAGTGTTACATTAGTTGTTCCAACCTTTCCCTTTATCTAGTGCTTTCTTTTGTACTAAAGAGTAGGTGGGCTGGAAACATGTCTACCAGTTCGTTGGGGAACTTTTCAGGAGTCTCCGTGGCGTTTTATCGGCTAATTGTGTAGTATCGAACAAATGATTTATAGTCTCATGGCCCCACACCTTTCAAGTCAAGACTCTGGGGCTAATGTGGCGGGGTGGGAGCTTTTGGGAAGCGCACCCTGCTCTCCCGGGCGCTGGTGAGGCTTATGCCCGGGTGGGAAGGGCGCCTCCTGCCCCTCGTGTGCCATAAACCAGCCGAGGCGCGCATCAGTGCATCAGCTGTGCAGCCTTAATATACTTGCTTGAGTATAGTCAGGACCTCGGTGACGTCGTCAGTGAGGGCAGAACTTTTCTTGCGGAAAGGGGCTTTTCCTTTAGGCCTTTTCTCTTTGGGGACTTTAAAATGTTCTATTTGGAAAAGGCTAGAAAACTGGTATTTGCTGTTTAAATTACATTTTATTTGCGCACTATTATAGAAGTTAGGGTAATGGTCAGTAAACCAAAATAAGTTACTTGAAGGGAGTCAGGTTTTCATGGATTTAAATTCTATTCACCTACTGTATGTTTAGCCTAACATTAGTTTTTATCTAGATAGAGAGGACAGCTTGCAAAACCAGACAGTTCAGGCACACACCTGCTTTTGCTAGAATAATCTGAGTGAGACAGTAACAACTTTTGTTTGTTTTGCCAATTTTTTTGTTTGCTTTGCCGATTTTTTTGTTTGCTTTGTTGAATTGTGCATGTGACAAACTGGCTTTGCAGATCTAATTTTGAGATCATTTAAGAAAAGGATCAGTAAGTCATGTTCATCATATTTTCAATATTATGAGATGTTTTATTGTAAAAGTGAACAATCTAGGATGAAACAGTATATCTTGGTGCTAATTTTATACCAATAATTTTGTATTTGTTACTTTGTTGCAGTGATCTTTTTTGTTTCTCTAATGAATTGCTGATTAAAGAAACTGAGGGTCCTTACTCTTTTTCTTTTGCCTTCACAACACATTTTTTTGCCCTGTTTTAACATTTGCTGCTTGTTGTGTTTATTACTCAAAGTCTCACAAGAGGTTAGTGCTATTTGGAAAACTCGGAATGAGTGCTGAACCATATGAAAGCCCTTTTCATGAACTAATATAACCAACATAAACTGGAATCCATTTTTTACAGACAGTAATGTTACCTTGAAACTAAAGAAAGGCTCTGTAGAGGATATCTCAAAAAAGAAATAAATGTTCTAGTCTTCATGTACAGTGTGTAATTTGATAGAGTCATTATGAAATACAGTGATAGAGCTAATTTGTACTACGCATTTTTTTATGTACTTCACACTATGCTAATTGGGGTCCATACCACATCCATGGAATCCTCACAGTATTATCCCCATTTTATAGATAAAACTGAGACTTAGAAGTTACCTAACTTATTCTGTGTTGTTTGTTTTACATGTTTGTCGTCAGAGACTGGAATCCAAACTCTCATTTAACCATTTTGCCACATTAGGTGATACTGGCTTACCAAGGTGATACTGCTTAAATCCACAATACAGCCATGCCCAGAATATTGTGGGAGAGGATAGAAAACATTGCTGAAATTCTTCTTTTAAAACGTCCTGCAGCCCTGGCTGGTGTAGCTCAGTGGATTGAGTGTGGGCCTGTGAACCAAAGGATCAAGGTTTGATTCTCAGTCAGGGCACATGCCTGGGTGGCAGGCCAGTTCCCAGCAGGGCACACAGGAGAGGCAACCATATATTGATATTTCTCTCCCTCTCTCCTTCCCTTCCCCTGTAAAGATAAATAAATAAAATCTTTTAAAAAAATTTTTAAATGTCCTTCATAGTCTTTTGTGCAGTTTCATAAATATCTTTAGTTTATGGGGGAGAGGATGAACACATTAGCAAACAGGATAGATTGTAGTAGTGCAATGAGAAACATTAAGGGAAGAAAGAAGAGAGAGGCTGTTACCAAGACTCTTGGTGGCAAGTGACAGAAACATACCCTGAGCAACCTTAGGGGAAAGAAGGGATTTTATTGAGTCTTCAATGGAAAAGTCCAAGGACTTTAATGGAAAAGTACAAGGAGTTCAAATAGATTGTCAGGAGGAGATGGCCATTTCCACCTCTTTTGATTACATGTATCAGTGCTCAGGCAAGCCATAGTTGAACTGTCCTCACACTGGTGGTGGGTGAGTGGGGGTATGGGGAAAACATGACATTTCAAATAACAGGGACTTTCTAAAGTGAGTCGCAGGCTTCAAAAGCCACCATAATGTGTACCAAATTAGGAAATGAAATAAATCCGTAGTGAGTATGTGCCACTTCATGAATTTAACTTTTTGGGTTTTTTTTTTTTCCATTCAGTTCATCATTCAATTGAATACTTGGTCTTTCTGTCAGGTAAAGCTTCAGACTTCTTGTACTGAGGGTTGTCTCTTAGGTACAAAAACAGTGCCTGCTCACAGCAAATACCTCATGTGTGTTTATTGAAAAAAGGAGAAAATTAGGAAAGCTAGAGAGATTCTGTATTGTTTCTCAAGCAAAAAATAAAAAATGGGTTGCCAGGAAATCATCCCTCATAAGAGTGACAATAGCTTGGAGACAAATACAGGAGACTCTTGTAGTCGGCCAGACCAAAGATGATGGATGGCATGCAGTGGTGGAGATTGAGTGGATGAATTCTAGATCTGTTCAGGAGTTGGAACTAAAGTCACTTGCTAATGGATTGGATGTTGGAGTGAGGAGGAGGGAGGCATCCAAGGATGACATTTTGGTTTGGGGGTTGAACAACTGGTAATGCACCCATTGGGGAGACTAGGGAAGAACAGGTTTATAGTGGAAAATCAACAGTTCCATTTCAGCATTCACATACACAGGCTTTGGAATTAAACAGCCTGGTCCAAATCCAGACTCTGCCACTCACTAGCTGGGTGGCCTTCTCTGGGCCTCAGTTCCTGTCACTGCAAAACAATATTCCTGTCTCAGAACTGTTGGGAGCGTTAAATGAGCTCATTCAAGTTACATGCTCCCTGAGGAGGCTTGGCATGTTCTAAGCTTTTCATAACATTGGTATTGGTTTGATACCTACTGCTATATACATCTGTATAGTCTACTGACCTTGATCTTTTTCGAGTTGAATCTTCACACCAGATTTTTTTTGTGGATTAGTTCCATGGAGAGGAAGAAATTTGCACACGCAGTAAAGATCCCTCAAACTTGTTATTGCTTACCTCGTTTGTACTCTTAGATGTTTTCTTTGAGGAAAGCTACCTTGGTGAAAAGAATACAGTAATGCCCTTGCTCTCTTCCTATGTGTTATATATATTTAATTTTCCATTACACAAAGATACAAGATGAATAAACCAACAAGTTGCTTACTTGGGACACAGAATCCTCCTAAACCTTTTCCAAATCTTTAAGGTGCTAATTAAAAATTGAGTTATACCAAGAAGGCTTCCAGTTAAAAGTGAATTTGTCTCCTCTACATTGTATGAAGTTACAATGTTGGTAACTTCATACAATGTAGAGAATGTTGGTGGTACAAGACCTAGGGACACCCAGGAATAGAAGGGGCTGCTCCCATGGTGCCCACTCCACTCAGGACAGCAGGGGTGCAGTCGCAGAAATCAGTTTCTCTCTTACCACTGTGTCATCATGTGGATGAACTTTGGCAAAGCCATTACACAATTAGCCAGTCGCTGGTACATAGTAAGTACTATGTAATTGTTACATAAGCCATATGTTTTCTTCATGAAAAACCAATAATACAGTTCCACATTTACTGACAGTATGTTTCATTGCAACAGTGGCAAAAGTAGACATTAGAATTTCTTGTGGAATAACCTACCCTCCTCACACCACCACCACAATATATTACCATTGTTCTCAGTTAGATATCAAGAGCCCATTAATCACACGCTATTTATTTTTATAGGATCTCCAGGATGGAAATTTTCCATTCTTCTCAAAAGTTCCACTACTAAGTCAACAGATGAGTTTAGAAAGGTTCAGGAAATGGATTTTCATCTATCTAGAATACACAAAGAACTATCAGCCAGGAAAGTATATGCATGAAGTCTGGTATACTGACCTGTTTCAACCCCCATTTATTCATGAATCCCTACAGCCTGCCCCAAGGGCTGCCCTTAGTGGGCATCAATAAATGATAGTCCACCAGATGAGTAGTCTTTCTCAGTCTAGCAAAGATGTGAATAAATTCTGAAACTAAACGCATATTAGAATTTCATACTGTGTGGGTTTATTGATTTTGGAGAGAAAGAGACAGGCCGATAGACAACCTTGGCATATCAGGATGGTGCTCTGACCAACCGAGCTACCCAGTCAGGGCCATACTGTGTTTTGAAGAACATTTTTAGTTGTGAAGTTTTTGTACTCTGCTTGCAGATGTGAAATGTGAATACCTAAGTCTGCTTGTTTTGCTGGTGAAACAAGTCACTTTAAGCTGGTCAGCCGGGGCAGCCTTAATTTGCCTTGACAGACTCTAAGTAGACCCTGCTTACGTTTCAACCATTGGACTTCGGCGCTGCCCTCCCCTGCCCCTCCACCACCTGCCACACACACGTACATCTTGCTTCCATGTAGAAACAATTGATACATTTTCCCTGTGCT